TTTTACCCTCCTTAAAAAAGATGTTTTGAATTTTTTTTTTACAATCATTCAAAATATAGAGTTAGAAAATAATTGGTGTAAATACATGAGGGTATTAATGTCATTTGTAATCTTTTTTTCTAATGGAAAGGTAGTTTTAGGACGGAGAAAAAGGAAAAGTGGGAAGAAAGTTTTAGGACAGAGGGAGTAATATAATACATTAAAATATATTAAAAGATCTTTTTTAAAAATAAGCTTAATGAACCAATGAAATGCTTCCACCTCATTAATTAGTGCACATGGGGATGCACATGTGGCATGCCACATGTCAACACTAATATACTAGTATTCTAACCCATGCCATGCACGGGGTCGAAAGAAATTTATGTCGATTCTAAATTATTTCAATGAAATTTATTTATCAGAATAAAGAAAATATATTGCTTACATGATTTTTAATACTACAAATGAAAATGGCCAAAGTAAAATAAATAATATTTGACGTACATAATGTAGAATTAACAATGTTTATTTTAATACCAAATTTTCTAGAAAGACTCGGGTGGATACAACATTTTTGGTATGGTTGCAAAGGTTTCCATTGTCATCTAGAACTAATATTTTTAATCCTATCTTTGTCTTCACTCGTGAAACAGCAACATATAGTTGACCATCTGTAAACACTGACTAATGAATGATGATTAAAAGTACTACGTTATTGGGAAATAAAAAACATATGTTGCTATGTAGGGAAAGTCATTATGCTTTAGAGTTATCTAGGTAAATTCCTCTGACTATAAATATATTTATGGAGTATCAATTATTTCAGTTGAACACAGTTTAGTTGCCATTTTGATAAATGAATTACGTGTTAGATATAATTAAGTAAATTTTCCAATTTAAAAATTATATTTGAACTTTTAGATTGATCATTCCATATCAATGCCTAAAACTTTTTTCCTCACATGCATATCATTTTATTTTAAAATATGTACTCACATTTTTTTATATTCACCCATTTCATATCAAATTTATTACAAAGTTTTTAATTTTTTTTTAAAGATTTTTAAATATGAATATATTTTTACTCAACTTTTTTAATATTCGTCCATTCAATTGTTTAAAATATTCATATGAAAAATTTGTTAAGTCATTCTAAAATGGACATCTAATTTTAAATTTTGTACGAAACTTTGTTTATTTAACATAAATTAATTTATCTATACTAACGATTTAGATATGAAGATAAAAAGTTTTTCAATGCTCATTAAAAAGCAATCATTTAGATTTTAAATACAAAAATTTTGGTCACTAAAATATCCCGTTTGATTTTGTTATTTTAAGAAATTCAAAAATGTTATGTATCAAATTAGCTTAAAACAATAAAATAAAATTAAATATATTAATATATAACAATATTAAAAGTACGTACATTTTCTATGTTCTTTTTTAATTGAAGTATTCTTTTCTACTTTCTCTTGCATCTCTAGCTGATCTCGTCCATGTATCGTCAACTTGATTTTCCATAGCCAAAATTGAAATTGAAAATAGGAAGCTCCTGCCACCAATCCTTTTAAAAACAAAATGCAGAAATTGAATTAACGATTCTTCGCTTCTTTATTGCATAATTGATTCTGAATGCTTATGTATTGAAATGGAAAATGAAAATATAGGCGGTGGATGTCACATTTCAACTCATTATATATCTCTTTTTATAATAGGATTTTGACCCAAGTGTATAAGAGTTTCCATAAATTTGGATATAAAAGTGAGAAATATAACACATTACCAGTTAAATATATAAGTAAGGAATTCAAAGTATTATTGTGTCCATCCTAGATATAACGAATGTCTTACTAAAAATAAACAAATCCAGAATAATATGATTAACAATCCAAGATACATAGTTAAGGATTGCCATATATAAGTAAAGAGATCCAAAATAATATTTGTATTATCCAACATGCATAATATAAATAAGGTGATGAATAATATACTCGTGATCATAATTTTCAAATTTAGTACTATTTAGGATTGTTTCTTTTTGTAAATTTTGTCAATCACCATATGTTAAGGAAAAATATATTCTTGGAAATCATATCATACGTACCATTCATGGCTATGCATGAATCATTTTCCGAAGCACGGCCCTATTAGAAGAGTTTCACATTTAATTATTTAAGGGTTGCCATATATAATTAAAGAGATCGAAAAAAATATTAGTATTATCCAAGATACATAATATAAGTAAGGTGATGAATAATTTATAATTTACAAATTTAGTATTATTTAGGATTGTTTCTTAATAAGATTTTCTGTAAATTTTGTTAATGACCATATATAAGTAAGGTGATCAATAATATATACTCATGGAAGTAAGACAAATATGTAACGAATGAAAAATAGTATTGCAATTTCTGTTAGTATAGGTACTCTATTGATTTCAACCTATATATACACGAATTTCCATTAATAAATCTTTGTTACTTATTAATTTAAGTATGAAATCTATAAATATGGAAGTAGGATAAAGGATTAATATATGTAGTGTGGTTCTAAAATTCTATTTAAGTTAAATGAAAATTATTATATTTCTTTTTTATTTTTTAAATAGTATTATATTTTTTTTTATTTATTTTTAATTGTTTATATCATCTTCGTAATAGGAGTTCGTATTGTTGTAATCTGAAAACATATATTAACATATAATATTATTAATTATCCAAGACACATAATTAAGGATTTCTGAATACAAATAAATGGATCCAAAATAATATTAGTATTATCCAACATACATAATATAAGTAAGGTGATGAGTAATATACTCGTGATCATCATTTTCAAATTTAGTATTATTTAGGATTGTTTTCTTAATAATCTTTTTTGTAAAAAGTAATATTCTTATTTCCATTAATACAGGTACTCCATTGATTTTAACTTATATTATACACAAATATCCATTATAAACTTTTGTAACTTGTTAATTTAAGTATGTAATTTTTAAATATGGAAGTAAGATAAAGGATAAATAAATGTAGCATGGTCCTAAAATTTCTATTTAAATTAAATGAAAATTGTTATATTTATTTTTTAAAGATTATTTATATTTTTTCATATTTTTTATTATTTTATATTATTATCATAATATGAGTTCGTATTGTGGTAATCTAAAGGCTAGAATTTTGTTGAAGGCTAGTGATTACCGCGTAGAAAATCTGCGGTCAATTGTTTCCAACGGGAGATCTGCTAGTGCATCGTATATAATTTATTTCCGATGGTTTACTCGAATATTATGTGGCATGCTGACATGTTTAAATTTTGTCACATAAACATGCCAAATGTCGAATTTCTATGCATCCGAGTCTCCTTTATTATATTAAAGGACTAGTATTTCTACCCGTGCCACGCACAGGTTGGGACGAATTTTTTTCCGATTCTACAATATGGATCTATATTTTAATTTGACATATTATTTAAAATTCAAATATAAATGATCTAGGTTTGATGTATTATTTCTACAAATCTATAATTTTTCTCACTGTATAAATTCAAAAAGATATTAATACAAAACGTTTTAGTGATCCAATGATTATTTTTCCTCACATAAATTTAAAAAACCTAAATTATCGACCTTATAATTATATTCTCCCTCTGTCCCTTAGTATTTGTCAACTTTTGACTTTTTTGTCAAAATTGATAAATTTTGACATCAAATTAAATAAAAATGATATTAGATATTGACACAGACTTAGTTTTATTTGATTTATTATATCATTCATTTTCAAAATATTATTTTATCTACTTAATATATATCTACTTAGGGGTGATATATTCATTCCAAAAAGGATTAAAACACTTGGACATTATTCCACAGATTTGTTTAAAGACTTGAGGATCATTGTTGGTAGCCGGGGGTATATCAATCAAGTATAGTTATCTGATACCTAGACTTGAAGACATGTTGGATGAGCTTCATGGTTATAAGATCTTCTCCAAAGTCGATCTTAGAGGTGGCTATCACCAGATCCAAATCTACGAAGGAGACGAGTGGAAAACAACGTTCAAGAGCAAGTTCAGATTATATGAATGGGTGGTCATGCCATTTGGGCTAACCAACGCCCCAAGCACCTTTATGAGGCTCATGAACCAAGTGTTGAAGCCTTTTATAGGTCATTTTTTCATAGTCTATTTTGACGACATCTTGATTTATAGTCGAAGTAAAGAAGAACATGTGAATCACCTCACTTTGGTGATCAAGAGGCTGGACGAAGAAAAGCTATATGGGAAATTAGAGAAGAGTCAATTCTTTTCTCAAGAGACGGAGTTTTTGGGATATTATATCTCGAGTGAAGGCATTCGAGTCGATGAGAAGAAGACTTAAGCGATTCAAGATTGGCCCGTCCCCACCACCATGCAACAAGTTAGGAGTTTTCATGGGCTTGCCTCATTTTATCGAAGGTTCGTGAAGGACTTTAGTACCATCATTCCATTAGGGAGACACAATAAGTGGACATTGTTTTTCACAATTTGAATGAATGTAGATAGGAAGATTCCCTCCCCCTTTTGGTGTGTTTAAATTTGGTCCTAGGCCATTGCATTTTGGGCATTGTATCATTTCATTTTGAGATAGTAATACACTTGTGGTATTCTATTTAAATCCTAATTTCTATATCTTAAGGTTGGCTTCCTTAAGTGTGAGTGTTAGGCTCTAGATATTTGATTGAGTGTGTAATATTTTAGCTAAATTCTAGACTCAAACCCCAAGTGAGGATAAGAGTGTGTTATATCTCTTAAAACCAACTTGGTTTGCTCCCCTTCTCCTTTTCCTCACTTCCCTTTTTTCAGCCATACCCTCACAAACCCAAACAGCCCCTTTCTCCTACAACTCCTCCTCTTAAAAACAAACCACACTCCCCCCCTTTCTCCTCCCTCGAATTCGGCCACCCCTTCTCTCCTTCCAATCTAAGTTAAGATACATCATTTGGTATCACAGATTGTTGTTTAGCATCTTTAAGGACCTATAACACACTTCCCTTCCTTATTTCTTTTTCCTTCCTTTTTCGGCCAGAACCACCATCGCTCCTACCCTCATCTCTCCTCACCATGTCAAACCAATCCCAAACCCTCACCTATGAAGAGCTTCAAGTTTCTAATTCTGCCCTAAAGGCTCAAGTTGAGAACTTGGCCAAACAAGTGGCTCAACTCACTAAGATGAAGTTGAAGATGATGGATACTCCCGAGGAAAGTGAAGAAGAACAAGAGCTCGAAGCACATCCCCTAGGCGATTCAAACAACAACACTAGAGGCAGTTCCAATGAGAAAGGAGCCACTGACTTCAAGGTTGACCTTCTGACTTTTGAAGGCAAAAATGACCCCGATGAGTTCCTAGAATGGCTCGAGACGGTTGACCGTGTCTTTGATTTCAAAGACGTACCCGAAGACAAAAAGGTGAAGCTTGTTGCCCTTAAGCTTCGGAAATATGCATCAACATGGTGGACCAACACTGCCACCAAGCGAAGGCGTGAAAGCAAAGCTCCCGTAAAGACGTGGCTAAAGATGCGTGCCTTGATGAAGAAGAAGTTTTTACCCGAACAATACGTTAGGGATAACTTCGCCAGGTTACAACAATTAAGGCAAGGAACCCGGACAGTGGATGACTACACCCGGGAGTTTGAAGAGCTTTTGATGAGGTGTGACCTCCAAGAAGATGACTCGTAAACGTTGGTCCGTTATTTGTTTGGGCTTAACACCCAAATAGCCAACGTGGTGGAGTAACAAACCTACGACACCTTTGAAGAACTTTCCAAAGTAGCTCTTAAGGTTGAGTCTCAACTAAAGAGAAACAAAATCCCTTTTCGCCGCCCCTCTCCATTCCCCAAAAACACACAAACCAACCCATGCACCACCCCCTATACCACGGCACAGCCCTCCTCCTCCAAACCCAAGTCCATCTCGTCCACCTCCACCAATCCTCCCCCCCCAAACCAACCTCCCCAACACCCGAGCTCCTAAGTGCTTTCGTTGTCAAGGCATAGGTCATTATGCCAACGAATGCCCAAACAAGAAGATTTTAGCACCATCACGGCACATATCACGGATTTGACGAAAAATCACAAGTTCGAGTGGAACTCCAAGGCCCAACAGGCCTTTGAAACAATCAAGGATCGATTAACACATGCCCCCGTGTTAGCCCTTCCTAGTTTTGACAAACTATTCGAGGTCAAGTGTGATGCCTCGAAAGTTGGAATCGGGGCTGTCCTATCCCAAGAAGGGCACCCGGTGTCGTACTTTAGCGAGAAGCTAAACGACACGAGAAGGAGGTATTCCACATACGACAAGGAGTTCTACGCATTGGTGTGGTCACTTGAGCATTGGCGTCATTACCTCGTGAGCAAGGAGTTCATCTTACATTCCGATCATGAAGGGTTAAAATGCATTCAAGGGCAGCATAAGCTCCGACCCCGTCATGCTAAATGGATCGAATACATCCAAACCTTCACCTTCACCATCAAGCTCAAAAACGGAACCATGAACAAGCGCGCTTATGCCTTGTCCCGGAGACACTTATTACTAACGGTACTTAGTATGAAACTTGTTGGCTTTGAGTTTTTGCAGGAGCTTTACAAAGAGGATGAAGACTTCAAGGACACTTATTCCAAGTGCCTTATTTGGCCACATGGAGAATTCCTAATCAAGGATGGTTTTCTCATCCGAGGCAACCAACTTTGCATCTTGAAATGCAGCGTTCGAGAAACCCTTATTGATGAAGTTCACGGAGGAGGCCTAGCTGGTCATTATGGGGTCGATAAGACTCACATGATGATGAAGGAACACTACCACTGGCCAATGATGGAACGAGACGTAGAACACGTCATCATGCATTGCAACACGTGCCACCTCGCCAAAAGTTAGTCGCTGCCCCAAGGAAAGCACTTGCCCCTACCCGTCCCCCTTGCTCCATGGGAAGATATCAGCTTGGACTTCATCACCGGGCTTCCAAGGACACAACGAGGCAAAGATTCTATCATGGTCGTCGTGGATCAGTTTTCAAAGATGGCCCACTTTGTACCATGCCTCACCACCTATGATGCTTCCCATGGGGTGAATGAGGTAGGGTTTTGGAGAAGATGGGTTCGGCCAAGATGAAAAGGAGAAGGGGAGAATGGTTAAGGTTTGGTGTTGTTTCTGGATTGTAAGGATTGAGGAGGATAATGGGTTTAAGGGCCTTCAAAATGGATCATATAGCTTAAACATAGGTCCTCGGCTTCCCCCGGAAGTGTAGGGTATAGGGGAAACCATGATGAGGTTGAGCCCAGATATATCACTCTCCCGGTCTTCAAAAGAGTTTGTCCTTAAACTCGGATATCTTTAAAATCCTCGTACGGGCTAAGATCTCTTCGGTGGAACGTGGCAGTGATTTTTAGGCCTCGTGTAAGATCGACCATGTAAGAGTTTTTTTGAACCTTTGCCAACACTTCAAATGGCCATCGTCTTGGGGTTGTAGCTTTGACTTGCGTTTATTAAATAAACGCGCCTTATGAACGTGAACCCATACTAGGTCGCCGGGCTGAATGGACCATTTCGAGTCACGACTCTTCTCAATCTTCTCTTCATACAGGACCTACAAAAACTCAACATGTTTGGTACAAGGTACCGTTAATGAAGATAAGTCTAGAGCGGAGATTTCCGCATCAGGTGTGACGACTTCTTCGTGGGTCTTCTTTTCTTGCTCTTCTTTCATCTCTGTAACCCAAAACGGGTTATCCTCTACGTCATCAAATACTTCTTCATTCTCTTCGAAAAAGTTCTTCATCCCAAATGGGATTATAGTCCTCGTCATCGTATTCATCCCTAATGATCTTTGGGGTAGTGGGCTGCATGGCTTCGGTAGCTTGAGAAGAATATAGTTCGGACTTAGAAAAATGGGGAGCAAAGGTAGGGGTTTGAACCTTAAAAAAGATGACTCTTAAAGGGTAACTTTGGGGGTTTGTGGTAGGCTTAAAGACATGTCTTTGGGAACGGATTGGGGTGGGGATGTTGGACCGGAGTTGGGGGTGTGATGGGCAGTGGTTAAGAGGGGTAAAGGCATGGTTTTAGATGGTTTTTATAGTGGGGGTGTAGGGGTAGGCATGGGGATGGTTAGGGAAGTTTGTGGAGTGATGAGGGGCATGGTTTTGAAAGAGTTTGGAGGCAGGGGTATTGCGAGGGGTTTGGGGTTCATTTTGGCAGTGGTTAGAGACAGAAAGGAGGTGGTTATTGAGGAGTATTGGGGAATGGGTGTTGAGGTGATATTGGGGACAATTTGGGCAGTAGTTGTGGAAGGTAATGGCATGGCGTTAAGTGGTTTTTGAGTCGTAGGTGTGGGAGAGGTTTGGGGAATATTTTGGGCAGTAGCTAAGAAAGAAACAGATATGTGTTTAGATGGTGTTTGAAATGTAGGTGTGGGTGATGGAATGGGGATGCTTGTGGCCGTGTGTAGGATGCTTGCTCTTGGTGTTTTTGGAGTGGCTTCATGGGGTGGTTTTTGTAGAGACAAAGGCATGGTTGGGATATGAGTTCTAAAGGGGTTTGGGGGAACCATGTGATGGTAATCTCTCGGCAAAAATCTCTTGATCAAAAGCTTCCTCATCTTCTCCCAAGTTTCTACTTTGGGCTTTCCTTCAAACTTTCTCTTAGTGGAAATATGTGTCCACCAAGTGGAAGCGTTTCGTTGGAACCGGGATGCTACAAGCTTGACCATTTTGCCTTCGGGCATATCCTTGAGGATTAGGATGTGTTCAACCTTCTTGAGCCACTGTAGGAACTTCATCGGATCATTTCTTCCTTCAAAGGTCGGAATGTCCACTGAATTTGTGAACTCTCCAATCTTTTTCAAATAAGCATCAAGCTCCTTCTTGACTTTATTCTGTTCAGCAACTAAATCTCCACAAGACATGTTTTAGGAGTGGTTTGACATGGTTTTAAGGAAGGAGAAGTGGAGGGTATTTTGGGGTATAAGTTGGCCGAGTTGGGGTTGGTTTTTGGGGGCCTAAGGTGAACAAAGATAGGTTATGTTGGGGTTGGTTCCTGGGCAGTGAGTTGAAAGGTTTTTGGAGTATGTTTTGGCTTCGTTTTTGGATGGTTTAGCCAGGGGCTGTTTTAGGTGATAAGGTGGGTGAACTTTTGGGTTTTTGGGCTGTCTTTGGCTTCTCAAACCAAAGCAAAAGGTGAGGGAGGAATGACTTTTTTTTGGAGCTGGTTTTGGGAAGTAGGGAATGAAGGAAGAAATGTGGGTTTTGATGGGCTGTTTTTTTTGCAGTAGGTTTGGGACGAAATGGTTGAGGGGAGGGTTGAGGGAAGTGTTTTTGGCCCTTAGGGATGTGGAACAATGAGAGCTCTGATACCAAATGATATATCACAAACTAGGGGTCTCAACAGAGTTGTGGTTTTTCGGAGAGGAAATGTAATAAAATGTTGAAGGCAAGCAAGGGGCAAAATCAATGGAGTGTGAAAGAGTTCTTTTTAATGGTTTTTAATATGAGAAAAGAAAGGAAGGAGAGAAATGGTGGGATTAGAAATGGATAGAAATAAGTGTTGGATAAACCAAGTTGGTTTTAAGAGATATTACACACTCTTATCCTAACTTGGGGTTGAATCTAGTATTCAAATACGATAGAACACACTTATTTAAAAAACTAGAACCTAAAACTCACACTTAAGGTAACCACCCTTAAGATATAGAATTAGGGGTTTAAAATAGAAAACACATAAGTGTATTACTAATGGAAATTTCAGATTCAAAAGTGAGTTACAACAATGGCCAATGGCCCATATAAATAAGCAAGCAAGAAAGGGGAAACTACCAAGTTCTTTCCTTAACAAATCTTTGACAATAATAATCAAATATGGAGTCCTTTCATGGGGGATGAATCAGGGATTTTGTGGGGGTGTTGGGTGACATTAGTTTGTGGTTTTTGATGGGGAAATATTAAGGGATGTGGGCTGTGTTTCTAGGCTGGGCTGGTTCGACCATATTAGGGGGCAAAGGGTGACTGATTTGGGACTTGATTTGGCTCTATATTGATGTGAATATTTAGTGGTTTGTGGAATGTTGGGGGAGTGAATGAGTGGTTGGTTTTTGGTGTGTTGTGTTCGGCTTGGGGTAGGAAACTGAGAGGGGTTGATTTGATCCATGAGTTAATATGGTTTTTGGTTGTTTTTGTGTTGTTTTGATGGGCTGATTTGGGGGGTTATATTCGGACAGGCCATGGGGCAAGTGGGAGGGATTGGCATGTGTTGTTTTGGCATGTGGTGTGGTGGTTTATTTGGTGGTTAAATTGTTAAAGTTGTGCCATGTGTGTTTTGTTAAGTAATGGATGTTTTCTGGCTAGTTTAGGGGACATAGTGGGGGCCTTGTTGGGTAGATGTTTTAAGGGGTAGGTAAATGGGTTAGTTTTGGCTTCTTGTTTTCGACCAACTTAAGGGTTATGAAGGGGGGTTTTTTTTGGGTGTCTTTTAACATGGTCTTGATGGGTGAATGAGGTAGGGTTTTGGGGAAGATGGGTTCGGCCAAGATGAATATGAGAAGGGGGAGAATGTTTCTGGATTGTAGGGATTGAGGAGGATCATGGGTTTAAGGGCCTTCAAAATGGATCATATAGCTTAAACATAGGTCCTCGGCTTCCCCTGGGAGTGTAGGGTATAGGGGAAACCATGATGAGGTTGAGCCCAGATATATCACATGACCTCCACTTGTTATTGTCCTTTTGGTTGGGAGAAAATCAGGGATAAGTTGTACTTGTGGGGCTGGTGTTTTGGCCACTAGTGAATGGTAAGGATAGGTGAATGTATCTCACTTATTTGATTGGGTTTTGAGGGGAATAATTCTGGCCAAGGGGAAAGGATTTATAAGGGGAAAGGATGGGCTGTTTTGGAGATACTTCCTGGGCAGTATATGGGGGAAACAAAAGAGGGTTTATTGGTGTGGGTGTGGGCCATTGTGTCTTAGATTATAGTAGGTGTTCGTTCAGCCTAGTTGGGAAACACAAGGGGAACAAGGATGCGGTTATGACAAGGGATAAGAGAGGGGCTTTTTGGCTTGTATATTTGTCCAACATGTGACTATCTTTGTTGGCTATGTTTTGTTTGAAAAATGAGTCATTTTGGAGTGGAAATTTTGTCCATGATGGAAGGGGAACATTGGAAACATTATTTGGCTAAATGGAAGACTTTAGAGGGTAAAAACAACTAAGGTTTTATTTGTCTTCTTTGGATCGTAATTTCGGCTAAGGTTTAATATAGATGGGGAAGACCTTATTTTGGTCTAAAAGAAGAGATGAAATGTTTTTGGGTATTTTGGGAGAGGTTGGGTTTAAGTGGAGCCATCCAGGGGTATAACATACTCCCCTTCTTCAAAGAAAGTTTGTCCCCAAACTTTTGCACCACCATTAAGAACTGGAGGTCATAAAAGAATTCCCGGATCAAATGGGAAACTAAATGAACCACCATTAAGAACTGGAGGTCATGAGATGCTTTCTAGATTTCATTGGCACCCTTTTGTGTAATTTTCGGAACATGAGGACTTCCTTGAAAAGAACCTGCTTCACACACTCCTCAATGATGAGATAAGGTTGCTTCTCATCGAGCAACATATAATACTCTGGGGAATTGCTTTCTAAGTATTTCACTAGGCTCCGTTCTTCTTCTTCCACACCTATTTCAAAATGATCAAAAACAAAAGAAGTGTCATAATCATTAGCGTTCAAAACGATGATGTGATTAGGCAATTCTGGTGCCTCCAAAATAGGTTCCTCTATGATGACTTCTTCTTTATCTTCCTCATCACAAGTTGGTTCTTCAGGTAGAACTTCTTCACGTGAAGCTTCTTCATTAATCTTGGCCCATTCTTCATATGCTACGGCATGTTCATTTGGGCATATCCAGAAGATATGACCATAGCCACAACACTTGTAGCACCGTTGAGTTGGCCCTTGAAAGATAGCCTCATTGGCGTAGATGATCTCCAAATTTTTGAGGTATCTTTGGACATCCATATCTCAACGACCAGAGATCGGAATGATGTAATTCCAACTCTCGGAGTTAGATACTAAAATCCTTAAAGACATATAAAAAATTTTAAAGCATTGAAAATCATTTGGTACTTCGTTGGTGGTCAAATGAGTAAGGTAGCTAGAGTGTTGGCAGAATCGCGTCTTTGACTTTGAATAAACTTATCTCCCAAACCGTAAGTCGGAATTGAGTGAAATTAGCAGCCAGATGTAGATAAAAGAGCACACTCCAAAACTGGAAAGTTTTACCTTAAAATCAATTGTGTACCTTCCTCCGTGATCAAAACTTTGGAGCTGAAAGTTTCAAGGAAAATTTTCAGAAACTTTGCTAGTGCAACGTTTGCATCGCCGGTCTTCCGAGTAGTCGTCGAGAGTTAAGAAAGTCGTCGAAGTTGAGCTCCGATACCAAATGTTAGGGATGAACCGGGGGTATTATCAAGTTGTTATTTTTGGAGATGGAATTAGGGAATAATGAAGGGGAAATGGGCTAGATGAAAATATTGGAATGTGAAGGAGTTCTTTTTGGGTTTTGATATTATCAAAAAGAGTGGAAAATCAGGGATGAAGGATGGGTTTAGAAAGGATGGGATACATTCCAAATAAGGAATAAGAGATAAACACACTCTTATCTTAATTTGGAGCCAAATTAATACTAAAGGATAAGCTCACCTCTAGATTAACTTGGGGTTAAATTCTAGTATTTAATCAAAATATTACACCCTCAATCAAATAACTTGAACCTAAAACTCACACTTAAGATAACCACTCTTAAGATATAGAATTAGGAATTTGACTAAAATAGTATCACACTATTTTAAGAATACTCAAAGAGTAAAAGGTTTTTATATGATTCCATTGTCCCTGCACATTTCCCTAAGGCTACATTATATAGGGAGAGGGGAAGGGGAAAATAATACACAATACAATGAATGTGAACATGAGGAAGCTTCCTATCTCCTTCTCTCAATTCAGTAGCATGACCTCCACTTGTTGTTGTCCTTTTGGTGGGGAGAAAATCAGGGATAAGTTGTACTTGTGGGGCTGGTGTTTTGGCCACTAGTGAATGGTAAGGATAGGTGAATGTATCTCACTTATTTGATTGGGTTTTGGGGGGAATAATTCTGGCCAAGGGGAAAGGATTTAAAAGGGGTAAGGATGGGCTGTTTTGGAGATACTTCCTGGGCAGTATATGGGGGAAACAAAAGAGGGTTTATTGGTGTGGGTGTGGGCCATTGTGTCTTGGATTATAGTAGGTGTTCGTTTAGCCGAGTTGGGAAACACAAGGGGAACAAGGATGCGGTTATGACAAGGGATAAGAGAGGGGCTTTTTGGCTTGTATATTTATCCAACATGTTACTATCTTTGTTGGCTATGTTTTGTTTGAAAAATGAGTCATTTTGGAGTGGAAATTTTGTCCATGATGGAAGGGGAACATTAGAAACATTATTTGGCTAAATGGAAGACTTTAGAGTGTAAAAACAATTAAGGTTTTATTTGTCTTCTTTGGACCGTAATTTCGGCCAAGGTTTAATATAGATGGGGAAGACTTTATTTTGGTCTAAAAGAAGAGATGAAATGCGTTTGGATATTTTGGGAGAGGTTGGTTTAGGTGGAGCCATCCAGGGGTATAAGATATTATATATCTCGAGTGAAGGCATTCGGGTTGATGAGAAGAAGACTCAAGCGATTGAAGATTGGCCCGTACCCACCACCATGTAGCAGATTAGGAGTTTCCATGGGCTTGCCTCATTTTACCGAAGGTTCATGAAGGACTTTAGTACCATCATGGCACCCCTCACTGATCTCACGAAGAACCAACGCTTTGAATGGAATCCGAAGGCCTAACAAGCCTTCGAAACAATCAAGGAACGTCTAACACACGCCCCCGTGTTAGCCCTCCTGAGTTTCGAGAAACTCTTTGAAGTCAAATGTGATGCATTGGCTTTGGCATTTGGGCTGTCCTATCTCAAGAAGGACACCCGGTCTCATATTTTAGCGAGAAGTCAAATGAAACAAGAAGGCGCTACTTGATTTTTGATAAGGAGGTTTACGCGTTGGTCCGATCCTTAGAACATTGGAGGCATTACCTCGTGGGAAAGGAGTTTATCCTCCATTTCGACCATGAAGCATTGAAGTACATTCAAGGGCAGCATAAACTTTGACCCCGTCATGCTAAATGGGTTGAGTACATTCAAACATTCACATTTACAATCAAGCACAAGAACATGGTCATTAACAAGGTTGCCGATGCTCTATCAAGGAGGCATTTTTCACTAACGATACTTAGTACCAAAATTCTTGGCTTTGAATTTTTGCAGGGATTGTACGAGCATGATGAAGACTTCAAGGAGGTATTTGCCCTATTCAAAGTTCAGCCACATGGAGATTACCTCATCAAGGATGGTTACCTCTTTTACGGTAATCAACTGTGTATTCGGAAGAGTAGCGTTCGGGAAACCCTCATCGATGAAGTCCATGGTGGTGGCCTAGTTGGACATTTCGGGATCAACAAGATGTACCTAATGATGAAGGAGCATTACTTTTGGCCGAAGATGGAGCGCGAAATAGAACACTTCGTGAAGAGATGCCACACGTGCCACCTAGCCAAGACCCATGCATTGCCGCAAGGATTGAGAATGCCACTACCCGTTCCCTATTCCCCTTGGGAAGACATTAGCTTGGATTTCATTACCGGGATGCCAAGGACGCAAAGGGGCAAGGATTCGATTATGGTCGTCGTGGACAGATTCTCTAAGATGGCCCACCTCATTCCATGTGTGACCCCTTACGATGCCTCACAAATAGCCGACCTTTATTTCCGAGACGTGGTCAAATTACATGGTGTACCACGCTGCATGGTATCGGATCGAGACCCCAAGTTTCTTAGCCATTTTTGGATGGCTTTGTGGAGGAAGCTAGGGATGAAGCTCAAATTCAGTACCTCGAGCCACCCTCAAACGGATGGCCAAACGAAGTCACCAACCGCACA